TGTTATCTGCTTCTGCAGTGAGTGGAAAGAATTCATTTTCACCATCTTTTTTATGACGAGCAGAGAAAACACAGCGATGACGATGTGGGTTTCTCCTGTTCTGCAGGACAGCACTTGAGGAAGGTCTGGCAGCTCCAACACCGGAACTGTCTTCTGACAGCTCACTGTTAGACAGGATGTAGCTCTCACATGTGGGCACTGGATGGTGAAGGTAGAATCGTGCAGATTTGGAGGCTGAATGAGTGGATTTCACAGGCTTTGTGTGTTCTAGAAGAGACAAAACCACCTGAATTTGTTTCTTTTCAGTGAAGCAAATAGCAAATCTTAACCAGGATCATTTTCATCCTAACACTTCCTCATCACTTCAAAGCATTAAAAGCAGGGATTAAGGGATCCATTCCCAAATCCAACCAACTTAGAAATGAAATTTCAACATTATTCCAAGTAGATAAATATTTTCTGCCATTTGTAACATGGAATCCAAGAGAATATTCTATCCAACTGAATGTGAAGGAGGAAACCAGTTACACCACAGGTAATTTCCCTGACCAAAACTTGATCTGAGACTTGATTTACATTTATGGGAACTCATGGCCAGCAGACACAATTCATTCTGCCTCATCAGACAAAAGCCATGGAGCACATATGTCCTCTCAGGCTACACCTGAACGTTCTCTCTTAGCTAACTCAGAAAAGCTCTCTCTATAGAGCACAACCAACACCACTTCCTCCACAGCTCCTTGAACCATTTCAGAAGGCACATGCCAAGATCTAGCCTTGCTTTGCTTGCAAGCACAGATGACACATGCTAGCTCAAAGCAGCACTGAAATCCCCCCAGAATATGCTATTATCTGAAATTACAAAGAAAATGCAATTATAAACTCATTTCTCGTAGATATACATGAAATATACATGCAGCACGTGCTAGCAGGGATGTAGTCCTAAATAATTCTGAAATGGTTTCTAATATACTATTAAAAAAATCACATTTAAAAGGTTAAAATGTGTTTTAAGTTATGTTTGTTGTATACTGGACTGAATCATGTAGTGAACCATGCAGGTAGAAAGCAGGGATTATAGATGTTAGTGCCAGAAGGATTTCCCAAGTCCCTGTGCTTGCTGCAAGATATTTTGTGCCATTTTAGCCAAGTATGTCATTTAAAGATGCCTCAGAGAGTACTAATAGCCTTAATATAAATTAAAAAGTTAATACAAAGAACAGTCTATTTACTAATGGTAACAGCAGTGACAAGATAATGGGAGCTGTCAGCAAATGTGTATCAAGCTCCATTAATGGTAGGGATTATACTCACTGGTTCTTCTCTATGCCCCAAACATTCCTCCCGGATTTGTTTTCCTGTTTGTATTTTTGTTGTTTTGTTTTAAATAGTCTTGTTTCAGTGACTGTGACAACTGGTGACAACAGAACTGGAAAGCACATCTTCATCTGAGGCAGCTTTGCCACCAGTTCAGCCAAAGGATGGCAAGTCCCACACTGAGCCTCCCTCTATGCCAGAAGGAAAAGACCAACCTACCTCACCAGGAATCACGAGCCATGGTTTAGTAATACCCCATTTCAACATGCAAGAAAGAGATGCAAGAAAAGCTCAGGAAGGGCTACAATTGCCTAAACTCACACCATTAGTAGTGCCTGAGAAACCACCCTTTTATTTAATAACATCAGAACAGCACAAGAGGGATGTGGAGCTGCTGGAACGAGGCCAGAGGAGGCCCTGGAGCTGCTGCGAGGGCTGGAGCAGCTCTGCTCTGGAGCCAGGCTGAGAGAGCTGGGCTGGGGCAGCTGGAGAAGAGAAGGCTCCTCAAGGGGACACCTTAGAGCAGCTCCAGGGCCTAAAGGGGCTCCAGGAGACCTGGAGAGGGGCTTTGGACAAGGGATGGAGGGACAGGACAAGGGGAATGGCTTGAACCTGCCAGAGGGGAGACTGAGATGAGCTCTTGGGCAGAAGCTCTTCCCTGTGAGGGTGCTGAGGCGCTGGCACAGGGTGCCCAGAGAAGCTGGGGCTGCCCCATCCCTGGCAGTGTTCAAGGGCAGGTTGGACACAGGGGCTTGGAGCAACCTGCTCTAGTGGAAGGTGTCCCTGCCCGTGGCAGGGGTTGGAGCTGGAGGAGCTTTAAGGCTCCTTCCAACCCAAACCAGGCTGGGATTCTATGATTAATTATTTGTTTTCCTTATACTTTTAAACACCTCTTCCCTTCCCAACACAGAGACACTTCAGTGTAATGTCAAGATCATGAACAGCGCACCCAGACCCAGACTCACGAACCCTGAAACTGGAGGAATTTATCTTCCCATACAAGGCCAATGTTTATATGCTGATGCAAGAAGATTCCTCCACAGCCTCCTGATAAATGAGGGCAGGCTTGGGAATACTATGCAGAATTTTTGCCATTTTAAAAGTTCCCAACAAAATGGAAGGAATGCAAAGAGGCAAAACATCAAAATAAGTTTATACAGAGAAGCTTTAAAATAACCCCATAACTTGCAGGATTTTAAGCTCTAGACAAGCTCTGTGGGTAGAGGTAATCTTTTATTAGACCATCCAAAAATACAGTTGAAGAAGTCAGGGAAGATTTTAGACATTCAAATCTTCACAAAGCTTCCTTAAAAATTCCAACTGTACCGGCTGCTTTAACAAAGGTTCTTTCTACTCACAGTTCTTTTCTTGTCTGTGCCTTTAGACCATCACAGCTACTGAAAAATACTATTAGGTGGGTTTATATTAACACTTGTGTTCCCCTTTTATTTTTATCCAGGCTATTCAGAAAGAAGTATCCATTGATCTTTGCTGCAACATGATGTTTTGTTTGTTACTGCAGATTCTTGTTGCATTTTCCTACCTTATTTCATTTATTTTATGGTTGGACTTGATGATCTTAAAGGTCTTTTCCCATCTAGCTGATTCAGTGACTTCTGTATCCTTACATTTTATAAGTGCTCACAGAGAATTATTTCTTCCAGTAGAAAACATGGGTTAAGACAATATTGCCTTCACTGTTGCACTAATTCAACTGTTGGTCATTGTACACTTACCAAAACAGTAAAATGAACATAAAATAATGAAGTTCAGTGTGACTTTTTTATATTATCTTCTGGAAATACTAAAATCCTTCCATTCTCAAGAGAAAAGCTTTAGAGAAAACCCCTTTTAAAGTGAAGAATTCAAACCATCAGAAGGAATCAGTACCTGTGTGGGATGACCTTACCTCAAGGCCTATGGAGGTACCTGCTTTAAAAGGGCAACAATAATCACACTGAGGCACCCAGTGAAAATCTGTTTCATTCAATGTCCTCCACATAATAAGTTCACATGGTGCTAAAAATAATAAATGGGCTCCCAAAACCCCTTTATATGTGACTGCATAGAAGAGAGCATGAACTCTGTAATTCAGAGCCCATTATGCTGTTCATGTTTCAGTCCCATCGCTCATAAAGCCACAGTTGTACTATTACCTCCTTGCAATTTGCTCTCTGTTTACTACAGCACATGCTGCAAAATACTGGATCATGCCATAAACAGCTTCCCTGAGGAATTAGTAACTGCATTTAGGAGAGAATCAACCATTCAGCAACCTTCTGTTCTCAGTTACTTCTGTCCAGGAACAAGATGTAGTTCTCAAACACAACAAAAATCTTCATCCCTACTCAGACTTGAGGAAGTTTATCAACCACTCCCAATCATGGAATGAGGTTCTGCATAAAAAGAGGATCCATCAGGATTAATAATAGCTGCTGTCAGGAGGTACAGTGTCCCCATCAGTTAGCTCAGTGTAATTTCATTTTGCCAGCAGTTTCAACAAGTAAAGCCTTTAAGTAGGCTACTACAGTAGTAAACCCTGAACTTCATCCCTCAGGATTACCATCCAACAAGGTCAATGGAGGGGAGGAAGAGAGAAGCATCAGTCAAAATTAAAACTCAGCTAAATACATTACAGAGACACTTTTCATGACATCTCATGACAACCCCAGCCCTCTAGTGACAGGACAATGGGAACGGCTTTAACCTGTCAGAGGGGAGACTGAGATGAGCTCTTGGGCAGAAGCTCTTCCCTGGGAGGGTGCTGAGGCGCTGGCACAGGGTGCCCAGAGAAGCTGTGGCTGCCCCATCCCTGGCAGTGTTCAAGGGCAGGTTGGACACAGGGGCTTGGAGCAACCTGCTCTAGTGGAAGGTGTCCCTGCCTGGGGCAGGGGGTTGGTGCTGGGTGAGCTTTAAGCTCCCTTCCAATCCATTCTCTGATCCTGTGATTCAATACACAGAGACATCCCACCTGGTTCTATTTACCAGGGAATTCCTGCCATTTTCTACAAGAGCACCCTTTCTACACTTACTTAAAAAAAACTTTGCACTTTACAACCCAAAAAAGAACCAACCCAAACACCACCAAACCCCAAAAATGTCTTACAAAGGCCACAATAAGCCCTGGGGCCCCAGGAATACCAGCAAATACTAATGTGCAAGTATTTGGGCAGTCAGGGAGAAACAGAAAGATGGGGAAGAGAAAAATGAGTCACATTCAACACCTTTAGGCTACTATCAGTGTATCATGAGGCCACAAGTCATGGATCCTGAAATGTAATTCTTCTGCTCTACTTTCTTTCATGTGTATGAAAACACACATAACATTAAATACACTTTAACTACCTGTGGAAGCATCTGATGGCATCATTTGGTCCTCAGCCCAGGCCAGCTTGGACTTGGCCCTCTTACTGTAGATCCCTTCTTGATGTTTGAGAGCTGTACTGTCTGGAGGAGTACCATCCCTTAAACCAAGCACATCTGCCTGAAATCTTGGAGGAAGAGCATCATCTGACCCTGCAGAGAAAAAGAGCAGTAACTGTGAGTAAAAAGAGGAAGCAGGAAAAAGACATGGTCTCATAGAGCCTGTTATCCAGGCAGTAGCACCAGGATGTTCACCAGCCAACAATCATGATCCCTAGTGAGCAGTTCTAGTGAGTAATGCAGAAGCAATGGGCATTGTGCCACATTGATTTCCATCATCTTTGGTGACAACAGCTTTAACCTGCCAGAGGGGAGACTGAGATGAGCTCTTGGGCAGAAGCTCTTCCCTGGGAGGGTGCTGAGGCACTGGCACAGGGTGCCCAGAGAAGCTGTGGCTGCCCCATCCCTGGCAGTGCTCAAGGCCAGGTTGGACACAGGGGCTTGGAGCAACCTGCTCTAGTGGAAGGTGTCCCTGCCCGTGGCAGGGGTTGGAGCTGGAGGAGCTTTAAGCTCCCTTCCAACACAAACCATTCTATTATTCAAGCTATTTATTGTAAGGTTCTTCCTTGAGAGGTGGATAAGTTTTACCTGTTCAATTGATGAGCAGAGGAGAACACAAGAAAATGAGTATTAGACAGGTCTGCTGGGAAGGCAGACACAGGACTTGAAGTGTCCAAATTCCCTCCTGCTCACATTAAAATTCCAGACATTTTTACTGACTGATGTAAATATCTATTTTCTAGGCTCCGAATAGCAGTGGAGGAAAACTGGAAGAGTAGAGAAGGGGTGTATAACCTCTAAAACACCACCAGCAGACCTCTCTTACTAGCGTATTGCTGTCTTCTGAAACGGTCCCTAACTGATTTATCCTCCTTGTCAGCACCACCTGGTTCCTTCAGTGAGCTTAACTGAATTACCATCAGCTACTAGTCATGAGCTGAGAATCCCAACTGCAGCAGGGAGTTTAAAAGACAAAATACATGTTTAAATTCTGCTGTATGTTTTCTAGAACCTTGCACTGCCTCTTATGCATACTGAGATTTTATATCTAGCAGCATAGTTTCTGCAAAACAACAGACTCGCACCACATTTGTTTCTCTTAAATTTGAAGGATATTTAAATTTATTTTTGAGGATATTACAACAGAGAGCGGAAAAGTGTTTAAGTATCCAAGTATTCAAGGCCAGAAAAGCATCCAAGTGTTCAAGGCTATGTTGGACGGGGCTTGGAGTAACCTGTTCTAGTGGTAGGTGTCCCTGTCCATGGCAGGAGTTGGAGCTGGAGGAGCTTTAAGGTCCCTTCCAACCCAAACCATTCCATGATTCTATGACAAAGATAATGAGGAGAAAGGCATAAATAATTACAAGCACAATTTGTGGCTATAATGACCAACCTGTGCACTTACTGTCACTGCTGTATTAAGCTACTCTCCTGGGGCACATCTGGTGGGACATCTCTGCAATATTAGTTTTGTCTACAAATAAGTCTGGATGTCAAAAAGCTCTGACTGAAAGCAACCTGCAAGTAAGACCTATAATGCTGAAGTGATGCATTCTGCATGTATAGGAGAGAACTGACAAATAACAGACAGCAGTCAAAGCAAAAAGAATCTGGTGAATCACTGAGTACCCTTTCCTCCAGTAAATGAGAAGTGCTTTTTACTGGGAGGATGTGGGGAAGAGGTGAACGTGTACTTTAAATCACAGTTTTGAGTTATATTATTTATAGAGAGGCTTTCTGCACTGGAATCCCCTAACAGGGAGGGAAAATTCAGTACTGAAATAGCTGTTCTCTGAAATGCACATTGTATTATGCAGCTATTTCAGAGAGCACACATACCAAATTAATAAAAAGGGAGGAAAATGTCCATAAATAAGGGAACTAAAAAAAGGAACTGGCAGAGATATGAAAGAGTCCAAGCTGAATAGTCATTCCCAGGGGAAAGTAAAGAATTATCAAGCTGTAAAACATGGAGACTTGTTTCTTTTCAGTGCCAGAATGGAGTACTACCATCCCTTCCATCAAAGCAATGGAAACCACAGCCTCCAGTCAAGACTCGTATAGCTTTGTGTTATAGAGCAGTGTGAACATGAACAAAGACATTTTGCTGTTAAAATCAATGCACTTACTCTAAACTGGAAGGACAGAAGAGTTCTGAGCTCCACCGAGAGAATTCTGCACATGAAATAGGTGTATTTTGATCCATGAGCTACAACCATCAGTTTGCACTTGGAAGACTTAAGATAAATACAGATCAATGATGCTATGAAACACATACCTGAGTGAGAGCTCTCCACGCTGCTTTCTGACCTAACTGGAGACAGTTTGGATCCTGCCTTTAGATAAGGAACATAATACATCCCAGTGCTTCCAGAAGGTTTATAGGGCAGCAATATGGGCTGATCTGTGGGGATGGAAGACAAAGCAATTAATGGAAATCAGACTTTAATCCTTGAATGCACCTGAAGATAAAAGCAACTTATCAGGATCCAAGGAGACTGCTGAAGAAATCCTATTCTTTAGGAAAATATATTGCCATTGTTAGCTGTTTAATTAATGTAATTTCATTATTTAATACCCACCCAATGGTTAGAAGGTTGACTGCTGCTCAGCTATCAAAACCAGCTTACTGACCTATTCCATGTTAAATCTGTGACTAGAGTGACAAACACTGATGTAAAAAGACCAATTCAGATACCAACCTAGAATCATGGCATGGATTGGGTTGGAAGGGACCTTCAAGCTCATCTAGTTCCAACCCCCTGCCATGGGCAGGGACACCTTCCACTTGAGCAGGTTGCTCCAAGCCCCATCCAATATCTCAGACTTTGATAGATGAAGATCTAGATATAAGACACATGCACTCACCACCATGCCTTGGGCAAGAGGACATCTTGTCAAGAGATGAAGCTGGACTGTTGGGAAGCTCGTGTGCTTTCTGGAGAGGCAGTTGGTGAACATCATTTCTAGTGTCTTGTGAATTAACATAGATTTCTGCTGAAAAGGTGGTTTTTACAGGACTTTCTGTTGTTATTTGTGTGGCAGCATCAGAAGTGCTTTTCACAGTGCTTGCAGGAGCTCCAGAGTTGAAGGTATTCTTCAGACTACATCGCCCTGAACCTGGAACAGTGACTTGTGGTCTCTCACTGCTTTGTGAAGGCAGCTCTTGCCCTGCTGTGCTTGTGACAGAGGAGAGCATGAGGCAGGGTTCTGCTGAAGACACTGGCATTGGGAAAGATGGAGATCTTTGGTCAGGAGGTGATAACGTAGAAACAGCTTCTGTTAAAGTTTCTGGAGTTTTAAAAGACACTGATTGAGTATTAACTTCAGGTTTATCCCATGATCTCCTCTCATTTTCAGTATTCACATCCCTGTGCAGCTCTGAGTTACTACGCTTTGAGGAAAGAGTTATGTGGACACAAGACAATACTTTCTTAATTGGTGAGGAAGGAGATACAGATGTGGTTGACAAAATCTCATCTGTAGATGAGTGGTGAGATGCATCAATTGGGTCTCTCGCTTTCTGAATGAGAGGCACTTCATCAGCAGGACTTTCCTTCTCTTCTGCTGACAGTTGAACACGGCCCTTCATCAAATCAGTTTGTAGAGCTGAACCTTTTAAGCTCTCATAGAACTGGACACGGCCAGCTGGGCTGCTTTTCTCCTGCTGGAAAGAGCTTATGGAATGGGGTTCATTACATCTACTCATCTCTTGACCACATCTCCTATCACAGCCAAGCCCCAGGAGTGTGGCACTTCGCCTGCCCGAGTCAGTCACATCTTGAGGCAGAATATCAGGATTCTTTGCACTAAGGGTCTGTCTTTTATCAACATGGATGCTTTCAGAGTCCTGATCTGACAAACAGTCTGTCTCTTGATAAGCTCCAACTCTGTTACTGTCAGCAGAGACATGATGAAACCTGTCTTTCTCAGCAGTATAAGCAATCTTACTAGACACTGAGCCAGCAAGCAGTGGGCTTGGAGAAGAGGTCTTAGATCTCTCCCAGTGTTGTTTGTCATGACTGTGTTCCTCAGTGCTAGCACAGTCAACCTCCAGAGGCATTATCCCATCAAAACCATCTCTAGTAAAGCTACTGCTAAGTGCCATGGAAGTCAATGGAGAATGTAAACATTTTCGGGAGGAAAAGGTGATAGAAGTGATTTGCTTGGTCAGATCCTCAGAACACTTCTCCATCGACAGCTTCTTCTGAGAGAGTAGATGGGCTTCTGTTCGTGCATCAGAAGCAGCTGCAGACCTCACTGTAGATGTATCCCATTCCATCTGCAATGGTGGGTGAAGTTCAGCAGCAGCATCAGAGTGACCAGTAGGACCTGTTTGATGCTGGTTGCAGATAGGGGTTGAAACAGTACTCAAGGATTTAAACTGAGTATCCTTCAGCAGGCAACACTCAGAAGGATCAGCTCCATGTAACTGCACAGCTTGTCTTAAGCTTGACTCTAGAACATCCTCAGTCCTGATGGTTTGTCTGTGCTTGTCAGTCTGAAATCTCCTGCCACTTGGAGCTTTGAAACGCTCAATGTCCTGTTCCCCATCACGGATGTACTCAGAAGCAGCTTCCAAACCATCGACCCATGAAGCCTGAAAACACAGAGAAGAATTCATGTAGATTACGTGGGTAACTCCCTGCCCCTGCCGAAATCTGGATTGTGGAATTCAGAGGACTCGTGCTGTCAATAATCAAGAGTCTGTCATCATGTGTGAGCACACACTTTCTCTGGAACTCATCTGGTAATGGAACTAATCACAGAATCACAGATCACAGACTGGTTTGTGTTGGAAGGACCTTAAAGCTCCTCCAGCTCCAACCCCTGCCACGAGCAGGGACACCTTCCACTAGAGCAGGTTGCTCCAAGCCCCTGTGTCCAACCTGCCCTTGAACACTGCCAGGGATGGGGCAGCCACAGCTTCTCTGGGCACCCTGTGCCAGCGCCTCAGCACCCTCACAGGGACAGCAGAAGCTCCCAAACGCTGAGAGTTGATCCATGCAACAACTTCCCTGACTGGCATATGGAGAGGTAGTTTGGAAGAGAAGAAAGGCAAACAGCTCTAGATGAACGATCACACTACAAACAAGTGAATAAAACATCACACTCCCAGATGCATGCAGAAACCCCGTCACTCTGAGAACACAAAGAGAAAGCCTTGCAAGTACAACTAGGAAAACCTTAAGTTACTATTCACTGTAAACTGCAACAGATTTTACCCTGAAGCACATTAAGACGACTACTCACCTGGTCCTTTAACATTGCACCTCCAATGAGAGGCAAGAACATTAACCTTTGGAAGTAACTGTATTGAGTCTAGAGAGGAACATTTATCTACACACTGAGATTGCCCTCTCTTGGGTGGGCACTAACTAAACCAAGTCTCACACAGTTAGTCCCAGTGCAGACACAAACCACACCATGCAGAAAGCAGCTCCCTCTTACATTATTCCACCCTGATTCTTTGTGATGGGTCAGTTTAGCACCAGAAGCAGCATCATGGTTAGTGACCACTGGGAATGGACAGGACAAGAGACAATTCATCACCATCCAAACCTTACACCCAAAACATAAGAGGTCATGTCAGCTAATGTGACACTGCAAGCCACCAGCCTTCCTTAGAGAGGATTTAAGCGTGGAAAGCATTAATTTATCAGTATCTGAAATTCCTTAATTTAAGTATCATTAAAAATCACAATACTTGAATTGCAGAGAGCAAACCTCAGATAAATGCAGTGCCATGGAGATGGGCCAGATAAGTGTCTTTAAAAAATGATAATGATAAATATCTTGGCTATATTTATACATTCCTAGTGGTTGGAATAACTGTGGAAACAGCAGAGTGTATTTCACAGGTCCCTGGATGATTATAGCTCAGCAGCTAGTTGGAGTTTGGAAATAGCAAACTCAGTCAACAACAGTTTGGTGTAAATCAAAGCACAAACAAGTATTCCACAACTGATTTTCTATCCTTTTTACATCCAGATGTCATTAGCAGGGAACTCTACCAGCAAGGTTTTGATTATTATTCCCAAGCAGTACTTTCCAGTGGCTTTATTAATGTTGAAGCAAATAAACCAGTTCATTTGGCAACCTGTGTTTCCTACAGGCAAGAGGGAAACAAGGGTCTGTAGCAGAACACATGGACCCAAAGCAGCTCTGTACCAGGGTAAGGCTGCTCCCAAGACATCTCTTTCCCAAACCACACACCAATTCCATGGCCTGAAGTAGTGAGGCCATGAGTGAGCTTTGAGGGTGCTGAGGCATTGGCACAGGGTGCCCAGAGAAGCTGTGGCTGCCCCATCCCTGGCAGTGTTCAAGGCCAGGTTGGACACAGGGGCTTGGAGCAACCTGCTCTAGTGGAAGGTGTCCCTGCCCGTGGCAGGAGTTGGGACTGGAGGAGCTTGAAGGTCCCTTCCAACACAAACCATTCCAGGATTCTGATTCTAAGTAATACTGAGCAACTCCTACTACTGAAAGCAAGCACAGAAGTTGCTATAAACTCCTCTTCCCGAGCTTTTCACATGTTTTATTGTGCTTGTTATGTGTCATCTTTCCAAAAAAGATCTGTATGGCATATGATCCACAAGAGATTGCAGTGCAAATTTAGAGCTACAACTCAGTGAACTTCCTGAAAAAGTGAGAAAGTACAAGGAGTGGAAAAATACAGCATAACCTGATGGATGCAGTATACAACGGGGGAATGTTCTCAGACAAGAGGTGACTATTTGGCACCCATGAAAATAAAGGTGAGGTGAAAAGGTCCTCAATTGAGAAGGAAAATTCATAGGTTTAATATCCTGAAACTGCACTTAGATCTAACAGCAATTCAACCCCCTCAATCTCAACTGGGGACCAAAACAAGTGTACATACAGCCCAAGAAGAAGGTTCAATGTGAAAACCAGTGCTCCTGGAATGGGAGAGCACCTACAAGTCTTTGGCTTTTCCCTGTTTCTGATCCTGAAAGAGCCTCATGATTTCAGTGGAAGAACAGTAATAGGGGTGATGGCTGGAGCTTAGGATTGGCTTTTCATATGTTTTTCCTAAAATCCCAACAAATATCATACGTGGTTCATGGCTCATTTGAGTGGAAAGCATCAGCCATCCCTATAGTAAAAATGCTCAGCCTATCAAAGAGTAAGTACTGTCAACTTACCTGCTCAGGCAAAAACAGATCTCTACAACCTCACCAGCATCACCACAGATGCAAGAATTATTGACCAAACAGTAAAATGTCTATAGGAACATCTTGGAAACTCTCTGCTTCCCTTTGTCACAAGTTTATAGGAGAGAGCCATCAGTTCATATTAAGTTTCACAAGACCCATCTCTGAACAATCCGAAATGTCACACTTCTTAGGCCTCTTTGCAAAGCACTTGAGGTTAATAAATGATAGAACGGTTTGTGTTGGAAGGGACCTTAGAGCTCATCCAGTCCCAACCCCCTTCAAACAGACAGGGACACCTTCCACTAGAGCAGGTTGCTCCAAGCCCCTGTGTCCCACCTGGCCTTGAACACTGCCAGGGATGGGGCAGACCCAGAGGGGTGGGCCAGCCACAGCTTCTCTGGGCACCCTGTGCCAGCGCCTCAGCACCCTCACAGGGAAGAGCTTCTGCCCAAGAGCTCATCTCAATCTCCCCTCTGGCAGGTTCAAGCCATTCCCCTTGGCCTGTCCCTCCATCCCTTGTCCCAAGCCCCTCTCCAGGTCTCCTGGAGCCCCTTTAGGCCCTGGAGCTGCTCTAAGGTGTCCCCTTGAGGAGCCTTCTCTTCTCCAGCTGCCCCAGCCCAGCTCTCTCAGCCTGGCTCCAGAGCAGAGCTGCTCCGGCCCTCGCAGCAGCTCCGGGGCCTCCTCTGGCCTCGCTCCAGCAGCTCCACGTCCCTCTTGTGCTGTTCCCCAGAGCTGGACCAGGGCTGCAGGGGGGGTCTCCCCAGAGCACAGCAGAGGGGCAGGATCCCCTCCCTGAGCTGCTGCTCACGCTCTGGGGGTGCACCCAGCACACGGGGGGGTTCTGGGCTCAAGCACACACTGGAGCCGGGTCATGGGCAGCTTAAAAATTAAGATCTTAAACTCTTCAAAATTCAATTTTCCTAGTGAATATTTTGGGCCACTGTTCAGCAGAGCCCTTGAGTACATGTTTGGAGCCCATTTATGTGCATATGTCCCAATCACCTCCTTAAACACTCAGCTAGAACTCGAGAAATCATTATGATGCTTCTTTTTCCGAGCGTCTGTTAACACATCACCAGTGACAAACATCTATCAAACAGCTCCTTGACTACCTCAAAAGATGGAACAATCTCGACATGCAAAAGATCACTGAGAAGAACCCTCCCAAGCTGTCCTACTCCTTCAGTGCCTTGGCTTTTTTTAAAGAGAGAAGCTTCACATGCTTCCTGCAGGAAACAAGAACATCTCGCAGTGGTACATTATATTTCTTGAGTTGTCACCTAGAGAAATGAGAGGCAGAGTCTAATCTTTCCAAAAAGAACATTCATCTCATGCCTGCATCACAAGCACTAAATAAAGATGATGGTCTGACGAAAGAATTGGTTGCTTGAGTGCCTGGGAACAGTTTGTCTTCCTCAGCCTTTCTAATTTAGTAGAAGGAAAATATCTTTCCGGAATCTTTGTTCGGGGTTTGAAGGCAGCGCACGGGTTTGCTCGGTTAATTCAACAGGTATGGTACAGAACAAGTGCCAGTCAATCTGCAGCAACTATTTGTCAGCAACAAAGCTGGGTGCAATCTTTTTCCCACTTCAGTAGTTGTCAATGAACTGTATTTTTCAGTGACACGTCGTTTTGCTTGAGAAGGGAAAAATACATTTAGCTGAAACCCAACAAAAACCACCCCAACCCCCTTCATGCGGCAAATTCAAAGTCACTTTTTAGCTCAAAACCATTGTGGAGCAAAGATACTTTCAAGCTCAAAGCAGAGAATGTTGTGGTTGATCTAAAGCAGTTTCTTGGAATGTTGGTTTGAAAAACTATGATTGATATTTGCTTATTCTACTTCGGGATAAAGCGGTTCGTATTTGGCACAATCACATGAAGGTAAATCCTTGGTTCAGTCAGTAACGAGTTAATGTCAGGGACAAAGCTGTGACCTAACTAAAGTTGGGGGAAAATCCAGTTTCAGGCCTCTAGTTTTTGACAAGGAGATTGAAGCAAAAATGTATTTGTGATTTGGTTTTCTGATTTGTCTGAATTTCTGAAACTAAACAGAATTGTTGAAATATGGGGTTTTTCCTGCTTCCCAGTCAAATATTACATCAAAATGTGAATAACTGAGAAGTTTGGGCTGATGGTTTCTGGAAGCTGATGCCTGGATGAAGAACATTGCTCATGCCCAAGAAACTATAAACACAAACAAGACTACTCTTAAAACACTATTTTTCATTTCAGTAAGAAGGATGGGGACCTGTTAGGAACTGTGAGCTGTGTGCACCTCTCACCTCAGCAATAGCAATGGTCCCATCACATCATCACAGCCTGGTTTGTGTTGGAAGGGAGCTTAAAGCTCAGCCAGTTCCAACCCCCTTCAAACAGGCAGGGACACCTTCCACTAGAGCAGGTTGCTCCAAGCCCCTGTGTCCAAGCTGCACTCGAACACTGCCAGGGATGGGGCAGCCACAGCTTCTCTGGGGCACCTGTGCCAGCACCTCAGCACTCTCACAGTAAAGAATTTCTTCCTCTGCGGCCCAAGAGCTCATCTCAGTCTCCCCTCGGGCAGGTTCAAGCCATTCCCCTTGGCCTGTCCCTACAGGCCCTTGTCCAAAGCCCCTCTCCAGGTTTCCTGGAGCCCCTTTAGGCCCTGGAGCTGCTCTAAGGTGTCCCCTTGAGGAGCCTTCTCTTCTCCAGCTGCCCCAGCCCAGCTCTCTCAGCCTGGCTCCAGAGCAGAGCTGCTCCAGCCCTCGCAGCAGCTCCGGGGCCTCCTCTGCCCTCGCTCCATCACTGACCACATGTCTTGTCCTCCATACCTTCCTTCAGAACATCTTAGTTATGTGTCACTCCCAACAGCTCAAACCACCTCCCCTCACCCAAGATACCCACCTATCCTCTGGGACAAACATGTGCCACGGCTGGTCCCAAAACATACACAGGAACTGGCTATGCTGAGACAAGCATCTCCACTAACCAGAGCTCTCACTGTTTGCATCCCCCTCTCCCTGTGCAGCCACCAATCCTCAGAAGTATTGCAGGAATACAACTCATCATTTGAAGATCAGAAGTAGGACAGCAGCATTTATCCCCCACTTCAGCTGTTTTCCCCAGAGCAGCTGGTTTGTACCTTGGCACGTGCAGATTTCCTGGCACTCAGAAGCAGCTCTGCCTTTATTTCCTGGATCCTTTGCTGGTCCTCTTGGTTCAGGTCTGACACAGACTCCTGCGATCGACTGGCCAGTTTTAGCTTCACCCAGGCTACACAAAGAACAGGAAACAGAAAGCAGTTCCCTTTCCATTCTCTTATATCATGTATGATAACAGTTTTATTCCTTAAAATCCAAACTTTGCTATGTGTTTGTAGCTGTCATGACTGAGGGAACAAAGAACACAAATACCAGAGCTCATGGACTGACCAGGAATACAATTTGAAATGGGTCTGTTGAATATTTCTTTGGAAAGATGGACCCAGGACCCACCACCTGGTTCCGTCATCTTTACAGTGTCAGACTCTAGTCATCACTCTGTCACACAATCCCTTCCCAAATCCATAACCTAGCAGAGGCTAATAGCTATGTGGACAAAGTACTGTTGCACCAATGTTAGGCAGAAGAAGGTATTCAAAGGGGAGAGTCCACTTCTACCCCATTCCATCATACTACACAAGATGACTACAAAACATGGATCATTTAAGCCCTGACCCTTTAAGCTTCTCATTAATAATGTACTATAAATACCTTTAAAACCAGGGGAACAGATTCAGGTTGTCTTATGTCCATACTCGTTCACTTCAAGGTCAGCATAGTATCACAGAGTGGTTCGTGTTGGGAGGGAGCTTAAAGCTCATCCAGTTTCTGCTCATCCACAGGCAGGGACACCTTCCACTAGAGCAGGTTGCTCCAAGCCCCTGTGTCCAACCTGGCCTTGAACACTGCCAGGGATGGGGCAGCCACAGCTTCTCTGGGCAACCACTTTAAAGCCATCTCTTCAACATACACTAACTAAAGATGTGCCATACTAACATAACACTTGATAAAACACAACTGAGACATCTTATTACCTCGTGCTTTCCTCTCCTCTTCATCTGCACTCTTCACAACTTGTGTCCGAGGTGACCCATTCCTCAGGAGGTTTTTGACACGGGCAGCTAGGGAATCTCCACTGCTGCTGTTGTCGCTATCCCTCATGCCTCCTGCCTTGCTTCCAGCTGCACCAGCACTAGACAACGTGCTCTGGAAGCCTCCTGGGACACTGGTGGTGCTGCCTAAAGGCTCCAAGGAAGGAGGATTCCTCATCAGGAGGTTTCTGACACGGGCAGCTAGGGAATCTCCACTGCTACTGTCGTCACTCTCTCGTGTGCCTCCTGCCTTGCTTCCAGCTACACCAGCATTAGACATCGTGCTCTGGAATCCTCCTGGGACATCAGTGACACTGCCTGGGGGCTCTGAGGAAGAAGGATTCCCTGCCTCTGAAGTTGTTCCAGTGCTGACTTCACTGCTTCCGCTGCTTTGTGCAAGACCCACAAACCCAGGCTGGTTTCTGTCTGTAGTCACACTGCTACAGCCTTCTGGCTCAGACCTGCCTACAGATTTTCCTGTCTTAAGCATTTTGGTCATTTCCTTCATCATCTCTTCACTATTCTGCAAACTGACATCAAAAGAGTTTTCCCATCTTAAACTGCATGTGTTATAATGCAGAGGGTTTATTACCAACCCCTCTTCTTGACTATTTCTTTGGGTCACAGTCTCATCCTGCAACAATATCTTGTGAAACTCAGGGACTCTGTCTTTCCC